AATACTGGGCTATTGTCAAGCGGAACCTAAAGAAGACCAAAAAAACTGCTAAGGGCGAGCAGCAGTTCAAGGCAAACTGGCTTTCTGCGGCAAAGAAGGTGGACAAGGTGGCTGTACAAAATCTGATGGCATGGGTCAAGCGTAAGGCCCGGCAATTCGGATTTGGAAAAGCGGAAGCCTAACTGAATATTTTTCCTGAATTTTATACTAATTGAACTTGAAACAGAAATTTAATTTGATTTTTTAAATAAACGATTTCACCGATTTACACGCGTTTTCCCTTGACCAAATTTTGACCGTATCACCCTTTAACCATACTGAAGAAAAGTAAGTAAATACAAGCTATATTACGACTAAATGGTTACTTGGGTACTCATATGGCCGTCAGAATGGTTCATCGGTAGCGAAGTGAAGTATTCCTGAAAGTGATGCGTTATATTTCTCAATGTTTTGATTTTATCCTTACGTTGCCTCAATGTTATATCACAGATAAACAGACACAAAACATTGAACATTTATCATTGTAAACACTTCCGCCATCTGTTGTTTACACTCAACAGATGACTGTAGCGTGTAAACGTAAAACGCAAGGGAATTGATTATGCACGCCACAAGTGGCGGTAGTACCAACTAAGCAACATTTAAATTGACCGTTAAAAGCGATTTCGATGAACATCTTAAGCATGTTATGTCTGCCTGTCTCTGTGATCATACCTTCACCACACACAAACAGGCATAACACTCGCAAGTTGTTCATCGAACAAGCATTTAACGATCAATTTAAAAGTATCGTAATTGGTAGTACCGCCACCTGTGGCGCGCATAGTCAATTCCCTTGTGTTTGACGTTTACACATTACTGTCATCTGTTCAGCGTACTACCCACCACAGCGACTCAACAGATGGCGGTAATTTTTTAGCGGCGATGTTTTACAGTGATGAATATTCAATGTGTTATGTCTGTTTGTCTGTGCCTTTACTATCGCAACTCCGGGTAATTCGCGAAAGTGCTTCCATTTTTATCAGGCACTTTTAGTATTAATTACTCAGCATTGGGCAAACACACATAAGTTTCCAAGTTATCATTTGAAAGGACTCAACTTGAAATACATCATATGAAAAAATAGAGATATTTTATTTTATAAACTAGTATAAAATCAATTATGTATAAGTCTGCTTTTTATATATAATTGGGTGTAACTTTTTTATAACATGAGATACAGATAAGTTTTTAATTAAACATTTCCAAAGCTGCTAGTTCTAACTTTTTTTCACAGATGGCAACCCTATCCTTGGTAGTATAGTTTGGGAAAAACCGCCCAACTAACATTTTCAGCTTTGTAAGCCAACTTTTCCAGCGTTGTGCTGTAAAGTAGCTGAAAAGAAGCTGCAGATATAGCTACAAGCAAAAGCTAGCAAAATAGTTTTGGAGAGCGTTTACTCAACTTTCTCACAACCATTATTCAATTTGTCAGTCGCACTGAATAACATCAGCCAATAAATGCTAATGTCACTTCTATACACACACTAATCAACTTTCAACTTGTAGCTGCAAATCAAAGCTAACAAAGTGAATATATTACTCATTTGATGGCTTCTAAACAACCAACCACTCTTGCTGAATAACATAAACATCAAAAGTGCTTTTTCAACAACTTAACAACCTGTACTCAGCTTATAAACTGTGTTAGAGCAACTTCGGAAGCATTTTCACAGTCAACTAGGTTTATTTTTAGACCTGTGCAGTTTTACAGCTTTTACTCTGCTCTTTTATAACTAGTCGAGAAAAGTGATTCGTGTGCACTATTATAAAGCCTCTACTCAGCGATTTTGTTGTAGAAGGGAATGTTGATTTGTTTACACAAGTTCAAAGTGTTGGCGTAGCACAGTTGGTAGTGTCAAGGTTTGCCAATGAGGTCGTCTCGAGTTCGATTCCAGGTTCCGGTGCAGGGTAAATAATTTGGTGATGATTTGTTACTAATTTCGATTAATTTGATTCACAGCAAAATAAACTCAATAAATTCCTTCATAAAAAAGCGTAAACAGTATTTAACCCGGCTTCAAGAGAAAGCTGTGTAGTGATTATTGGATAACCGGGAAAAGGTTGAATAAGCGCCTTTCAAGTTCACACACAACTAAACAGCAGGATAACAGCTGTATAGAAGCGTTAATGGATATGCAATAAGAGCTTCTCCCGACCGTTCCAACAGCCATAAGTAGCTGACTAAGTTCGCCAGATTTGCTTGTATAGAGGTTGAGTAAAGGTTTCCTCATATCGTATAACGTTTGAATACCCCTAATGAAATTTTTATGGTTATTCTGCTTAACGACGTGTTCGGGGTATCATCCAAACCATTTATGGAATAGTTCAACCATTTGGGCTATTGTTCATTTATGGTTTTTGTTTATATGGGACAGCTTGAGGCTGTATAAATGAAATGAGTAAAGCGTTTACATTGTGAAAATTGTTAGTTGGGCGTTGGACTTTGCTTACAAAAATTATCCGCTTATTCCAGTACACACTTAATCAAGCTCGGTAAAATCTCCAACAGCCGATTATATATTAAAAAGTAAATGCCACCTCGGCATTTACTTTTGCTGATATCTACGCAAAATGATATTTGTTAGCTGAGTCTCGGCAATTGTACTGAATCTCGGCAAAATAAATCGCAGAACTACTCGGCTGTTGGAATTTATGTGTGTACATAAACGATAGGTATAAGTGCCATAATTTTTGATGTTATCGAGCAAAGCCCATACTAGAGTCGGTGTATAATGAGTCACGCCAAAAGAAAAACAGTTGAACTCGCATCACGGTTTTCGAAAGATTATCTTTCTTTTAACTTGGCAACAGAGGACTTCTACATCAACTTCAAATGACTTCTAGCGAGAAAAAATAATAGTGGCTGTAGTAAATCATTATATCAGTGATTTTGTCAAATTATCTTAACAAAAAATAGTAGAAATTGTCATTACTGATCATTACCAAACGAATCCCATGACAATTGAATGCTCACTGCGTGTTTATTATCATTTCTTCGATTATATTTTATATTTTATTGCAATACCTTTCGTGGACCTTTCATAGCATCGTAATGTTAGTTTACTTTGCACGATAGGTAGCTGGTTTGACAGTTCGATAGGTAGACTTGGCTTCATTCTTGGCGTGACTCATTATACACCGACTCTAGCCCATACATATAGGTGGGTGGTCTTTTACACGTGACTACCGGCAGAAGCGACTTCCATCGGTTAGTTGCAAAAATTACGTCTTTAAAATCTTCAAAATGGGGCGACCCCGGCATAGTGGTTAGCATCCATACCTCTCACGCCAAAGTCACGAGTTCAAATCTCACCCCGGGACAAGTCACGAATGACCCAAGAGCGTTAAAGTGACTATAATAACAATAAAAAAAAAAGAAATTTGAATTTAAAAAGTTATTGGTACAAAACTATTTTTTATGGAATTAAGTCAATTTCGAAAAAAATATTCTAAAACGAGAACGTTAAGATATAGAAAAAAAGAAGTTATTTCATTAAGTTGCTTGAAATAGCCTCGGCTAAAACTTTGCTGAAGATTGTGTGTCTTTATTTTCAAAAATAAGAAAGTTTATTTTTGAACATCAACTACTTTAAGGCCACCTTTATATCTTTAAGGTCTAAATATTGAAACAAAAATATTAGCAAATTTTATTCAACCGTTTGCATTCCCATCCCTTGTATTTAGCATTCCAGTGATTTCTCGTGGAAGTGCAGATGATTCCCGGCTTCCAACAAAGCGAGACAGCACATTACAGATAAACATTAAGAACAAGTGGTGGTATTGTTAAGGATGATATAATGTACTTAGGGTCAAGGCGGTAAATGTCGTTTGCACGAACAAGTGGTATACTTTCGGAAAGGTGATAGTTGCCCCTATACGATGATGTTGTTGGTTTGCGTGGGCGTACTTTAGTTCGCGTGTAAAGGGCCTTAGGGAAGGTCCATTAATTATGTCACGCAAATTTAGTCCATTTTCAACCCCCCCTCCCCCCTCTGTCACATATTTTGTATGGAACTTATTTTTTTTTTGTATGACTCGTCACAGTTTCCAAAACCCCCCCTCCCCCCTAAAAGTGTGACATAATTAATGGATGACCCCTTATAGCGAATTCGTTTATTATTCAGTTCCAACCTGGATCGGGTATCAAGATTGGGTCTGCTTGTTTTCTGACAAACGTCAGTTTACTCGTTCTTTTTTAAAACCTAGCTCAGGTTGAGGTTCACACTGACAAAAGGTTCGGTTTCGCACTGGGTTGGAACTGGTGTTAAAGCCGATAATAAACGAATTCGCTATTAGAAAGTTTGTTTACAAATGCTTTTGTGCCGTTATCAAATGTTATGCCTGAATAACCATAGCTGAAACCCCTAAAGTACAATGATGATTTCTCAAGAAAGAAAAGAAATTACTTCATGAGTAATGTTTGATAAGCAAATAATTTGGAAACATTTTTATTCTATATAAATATCAAATCTGCTTTAAAACTGCAATGTTTAGCTGAGCTTTCAACTGAGAAATATGTTTTAGTTTTTTTCACGGCATTAGTAATTTTTTTGAGCAGTAGTGTGCGATTACTCACTGTTTGACAGCATAATTAGAATGTAATCACTGTTTATCAAATAACGTATTGTACTAGAGAGCGTTATACTAGACCCTCTCTATATTGAAACTATACTCTTCTACCGTATTATAAGAAAATATGTTTGCTTCCTTACCTTTTAAACTGGAATATGTAACGTTATTTTTTATTGTGTAAAATTTATAACCTTTATTGTCTGACTTGCCGAAAAAAAAGCTAGTCTATACCTCCCATTACACGACCAACAGTGAATATTGTAAAATTTTCAATCCCTATATTTTACTTCTAGAAAAATGGAATTACATCAGCAACGTGTCAAACGTGGAAGACTTACACGATTAAAACATAAACATTCCTAAAAATTTGTCACTCTATCCCTACGCCCATTATCTAAACCCCACGCGAAACTGTTATTGTCAATTGTTGTATATCGTAAGTAGTCATTTAAAATAGGTCAAGGGTAAAATATTCGTAAAGCTCAGTTTGTCTTTTTAGCGGCCTTGGTCTTTTTCTTGATCGGTGTGCTCGGGAAGATAACGAACAGCGACAGCTGAATCAAACCCAGCGCCAAGGCGATCACGTTTTGTACCTGCAGAATAACATGAAATTCCATTAAAATATAGTTGATTGAATTAGAAAAAAAAACATACCACAAGAAAATCATTTCTCAAGATCACTCCGTACAGTAGCCAAGATAATGAAACGAAGCTTCCGGATAGAATAATCGGAAAAGGTAGTCCTTCGGTACTTTTGTTTTCCAAAATTTCTCCCTAAAACGAGAAGTAAGTAGGTAAGTCACTTTTCGTAAAGTTTCATAAATTATTCCACTCACCAATCCCAGCAGCGGCATCCCGACCAGCAGCAGCAGTATGACGGTCAGTATCATCCCAAAGCGAAATTCGACCACCTTGGGATCCTCGTACTGTACATACGCCAGCAAACCGACGGCTATCGCTCCAGCGGCCCCGATTTGTCCCCATACTTTGTTCTTGGCCGGCCCCACCGTGTACCAATAAAACGCACACACATACACCACATTCAGTGCCAATCCAATCAGGTTGACCTTGATCATCGCGTCATCCTGCAACATCTGGCCGAACTGGACATTCAGCAGACTGAACACTGCACCACCGAGGAACGGGCCAGCCGAAAAACCTTCGGAGCTACCTTTCCTACGGATGTCGTTGACGACAAACACACCGCTGAAGAACTGCAGAACCGTAATGACGGCCGCCGACAGTCCGACGGTGTCCTTGTGCGGTTCCAGTACCAAGGCCAAGGCTTCCATTTTCAGACACTCTCACACCACACCAGAAAAAAAAATAAAATCGACGGACAATTGGGGACAAATCTCGCTGCTGCTGCTGCTGCTACACGATAGAACCGTAGATGCCGCTCGCTGCACACCTCTTATGTAACTAAATTTAATGAAACATTCCACTGATTTACGATTTCTATCGCACTAAAATTCGTCGACGCGTTTTGTCGTCGTTGTTTATTGATAAGCAATTGATTGTGGAGCGCGCATGTTGTTGGCACTGCACACGAACCGTAATCGAATATAGAATAGAAGACGTGAGGATGTGGCCCGAAAAAAAAACGAAACACGAAACATAAACAAGTTTTGGGGAGCTGCCATCTAATTGACGTTCCCCCATTCTATGGGCGTTCGCATTCGAAGTTGTTTTTTTTCTATCATAGGCGGGCATTGGGGAGCAGGTTGGGTGGTGGGTTTGTTGATATGGAAGACTGATTATGAGAACAGCGTGACATCGAGTGTTGGAGCTTTTATAAAGGAGCGTAACCGACCGTAACGCGTGCTGTTTGAATTTTGGTCGACCATGCGTCTCCGTTCGTTGCTGGCTGTTGATGGATTATGCTTTTACACGATTTTGATTTTTTCGATTTTTCCCTCATCAGGATAATCATTTTTAATATACCACCTGATATTTATTTGTGATTTTTTAAACAAAATGCATTTGTATGCAAATTGAGATCCCACGATCAAAAACAGAGGCGAAAAAACATCTCGGGAAAACAGAATTGAGTATCGTCAAACGCTGTGTAGATAGAGTTGTTATTTGTCGTTTTACTAATAGCGAATTTGTTCTTTATTCAGTTCCAACCTGGTTTGGGTATCAAGATAGACTTATAGCTGTAAAAAAGTGACTAAAAAGTGACCTAAGGGAAGAAAATTAGTAATTCTGATAGCATACCAAATATGTACAAACGATATGTAGATTTAATAGAAAGCTTATTACTAAACCTTAAAGCACAGACAAACAGACATAACACTCGTAAGCTGTTCATCGCGCAAGCATTTAACGGTCAATTTAAAAGTATCGTAGTTGGTAGTACCGCCACCTGTGGCGCGCATAGTCAATTCCCTTGCATTTGACGTTTACACACTACCGCCATCTGTTCTGCGTGCTACCCACCACAGTGTACTCAACAGATGGCGGTAATGTTTTAGCGACGATGTTTTACAGTGAGAAATATTCAATGTGTTATGTCTGTTTGTCTGTGCTTAAAGTGTCCACTACCTTGAAGAACATGAAAACCCGGAAATTCACAGAGAATTTTATCTCTTCTGAAAATACCTGGAAGTCGCAGGGAATCTTATCATTACTCAGGAAATTCAATAATTTCCTTACTAAGGATATTCCAAAGAAAAGAATGCATTTTAAAATAATAACATTGAATATTCCTAGTTATTCTCATTCACACATTTGAAATCGCATAAGTCCTCGTAAGTTTTTGGTGAATACTTAGAGGGTGAAGGGGATGCTAAAAGGAGGATTACAATTAAATGTGAGGATAACTCCAGGAGATCTTCAAAGAAATTCGGAAAAAAATTGTTCCAGGAGAGATTGCCAAATAAATTAAGGGAAGAAATCTAAGGAAATTGTGAGGAGAAATGAAAATGAAATCTTAGGAGATTTTCAATGTGAGTAGAATTCCAAGGAAAGGAGTGAGGTTAAAAAAGAAACCTGAAATGAATTCAATGAAAATTCTGAGAATCTTTCGATAGGATTTCTTACTGAGGAGAATTTCAAGGCAATTTCTAGGAAAATTAAAAGAAAATCGGATTCGGAGGATACTTGCGAGAAGTATTCTAACTGTATTCTTGTGATATTTTTTAGAGAATTCAGAGAAGCGTTCCAAGTGAATTTCTGAAATAATTCCATGAGAGTTTCGGGAGAATACGACCGAATAATGAGGAGAACTCCAAGCGAATTTTCACGAGAAAACCCCGTTGAATATGTAATTAACTATTCTGAGGTCTTCAGAACAACTTGAAAGTTCCCAAAATATTCCTGAAGTTAATGAAACTGCCTTGAAGTTCTTTGTAGTTTGAGAAACTAGCCAGATGCTCTCAATACGTCTCATCATTGAATCCTGATAAATGTGGGCGTCTTAATGGAATACCTGTATAAAGAGAGAGAGAATGATTACTAATTTCCATTTAATTCCACTACCTTATTTGCTTATCGTTCACAGATACGCGTATTTCGTCTACAATGTGCAGACTTCTTTAGTGTCTTGTACTAATACTCGACTGAAGAAAAACATCGCATTTTACCGAATATATATTTTAACAGGTACATTTTCACTTAGAAGCAAATAAGTATAAGCAAATAAGGCACTGGAATTAAATGGAAATTACTAATCTTTCTCTCTCTCTCTCTCTCTCTTTATTCTCTCTCTTTATTCTCATCATCTCTAAACTTTTTCGGTCTTCCTAAAGTTTCCACAATTGTCCTAACGATCATGGATCTTCTCTAAAGTTTTAACCATTCACTGATTTTCTCGAAACATTTTTTTTTTTAATTTATGTAATTTCGCTGCTCCGGAATATCACTGCTCTGTTTTTTCTTGAAGTTTTTTTGTTCAGCTTTTTTAGTGAGATCAAAATCTTTCTTGAAGTTCTCGAAACTTCTCTAAAGTGTTTGCAGTTCTCATGAAGCTTGTTGTACTACCCTGAATTTAATTGAACTGTCCTAAACATGTTTAAGCTTCCGTGAATTTCTGGACTTATGTGAAAACCTCAATAATTTTCTTAACATCTCTAAAGTTCTCTGAAAATTTGGGAACTTCTTGAAATTTTCCGCTAATTTAGTGAAACTATTGGAACTGAACTCCTTTGAAATTCCTCTTGTTTTTGGAGCATTACTAAACTTATTTGAAATGCTCCCGAAATGGACATCCAAGTTCCTGAAGTTCTCGGATCTTCCCTTAAGTTCCATAGACTTTTATGAAGTTCTCGAAATGTTTCTGAAGATCTCTGTACTTCTTTGAAGATGCTGAAATTTTAGGAACATCTTTGAGCTCCCGCAAGAAAATAATTAATATAGTTCTATGATTTTCACTGAAGTTCTCAAGATTTGTCGACTTTCGAAACTAATTCATAGCTTCTTCAATAGTCTAGAGTTTCCTGGTGTTTTTAAAACTGCCCAAAATATTTCTCAATTTCCTTAAAATTCTATATACCGCTCTAAATATCTTAGCATTTTTTTTAAAGAACCCACAATTTTACTGGCATTGATTGAATTGCCTTTAAGTTATACAATAAATCCTAAAGTTTTATAAAGTTTATAAACGCTCACGGAATTTTGCCTTAAATCACTAATATTCCCTGCAAGAAATTTTCTATGCTAACCTTAATTTCTTTAAATTGATCAAATGTTCCGGTAAATTTTCTGATATATATTTATAATTTCCTAAATCTTCTAAAGATTTCAGATCAATCATAGAATTCTCGGAATATCCCATAATCCCAAAGAACTCCTTGTAAGTCACTGCAAATTTTCTTGAGTTAATGGGATTTTATATGTTGTTATCTGATCGTTCTCGAAATACTCGAAACTTCATTGATTATAACGAAACAATCTAAAAATATATAAATTTACTTTAGTTCTCTGGAATTTCTTGAAAATATCGGTGCTTGTAAAAAGTTCTCGCATTTTTTTTAAATTAATGGAACTTTGTTGATGTTCTCTAATCATCTTAGCTAAATTTTCGAAATTTTCTAGATCTTGAGAAATTTTCATGATATAACACCCTTGAAATACTCTCACATTTTCCGGATGTTTCATAAATATTCTGAAGGTCTCTGTTCTGAATCTCTCGGAATATCTTAAGGGTTCTCGATTTTATTCCAGCACATCATGGAATTATCCTGAATTTTTCTAACTCACGCTTATACATTTTTAAATCAATCCAATTATCTGGGCTAATATTTCGGGACTTCCGCTTAAAATCTCTGGAATTCCCCAGGGATCTCTAGATCTAGTTTTTCTGAGATAAATACCCAGACAACCAGAAGTCGTATAACAATGTACAGAAAGTATCGTAAATAACTACAGTTTAAGTCAACATCGCATATAAGTATGACATACATAGCATTATGTTTAAGTTTAATCGTATAGAATGCAAATTTCCGACTTATATACGACGAATCTTTTTTTCATCGTACTGTATCACAAATTAAATCGGATTACATCGTAAGGTTCTTCAAATTGAATTTGTTATTACTGATTGAATCGTATATAATGTCAAATCAACTCGTTTAAAAAGAAATTAAAATTTGCACGTATATGGCCTCCACTTTTGTAGGTATAGGCCCTTTTTTTGCATTCTATACGATTTGTTTGTTTGTATATATGTTTGTATATCACAGAAACAACTTTAAATATACGTACATTCTGGTTGTCTGGGTAGAACTTCTTAAAAGTTTCCACAATTTTGCTAGTACGAAACTTCAAGACATTAAAAATGTTGTGATCTTAGACGTACTAAAATGAAGTAAAGCTGTTTCTTTAACACTGTCTTTTTAACTTTTAATGCATTTCATAAATGGCTTTCTTATTATAAATCAAGAATTTTTCCGCCAAAGTTATGGAAAAACCTGGAAAAGTTAGGGAACTTTATTTAGCCAAATGTGTGAACACCCTGTAGATAGAGAAAAATTAGAACAAAATCGAAGATAACATATCAAGAAGACTTGCAAGTCTTCGATTTTCTCTTACGACTGCTATGAGACAGGTACAATTGCGTCATCTGCCGCTCAAAGGTAAATGCTTCGAACGAATTTGATAGCAAAGATTACATCCTCAAAAGAAAGGTTTGTGTATTTGCTCATTTTTCTATGCGTTGCTTCCACCTTCGCTCAAACGCAGCGCTACTGTATCTGTCACTTGGATTCGGGCAATGAAGAATGATCAATCTTGAAATAAAGTCACATTAAAAAAAAGTTTAAAATAGTGACTGATTACAAGAAAAAGTGATTTTAGTGACTTAGCCTTAAAAAAGGAGACTTTTTAGTGACTCGCTTGAAAAAAGTGACCAAGTCACTAAAAAGTGACTCGCTACCAGCCCTGGCGAAATTGCTCTAATGTTGACCTATGGATCAAGATTTAGCCCATCGCTAAAAATCTGCTTTTTATCAATTTTATCTAGATGAACGCGTCATTGGGACGGTACTAATGGATATTTTTGGTCGCTATTGATAATTTAGTCGATTGCTGAATTTATGTATGGGCCCAAATTAGAGGCATTTAGGCCGACATTACATTCATTTCCCTATATGGAAACTTCAGTGGAGAAAATTTCCTCCATTTTCAAGGAACAGAGACCACACTTTAAAGCATGATTCTGGCATTCAAGAAATAGATTTTCTCCAAATCAGCTGAGCGTAATGGTTTCGAATCGATTTAAATAGCTAATTGCAACCAAGCAGTGCACTGACCTGTCCGACATTGTTTCACATTAGCGACAAAGCATTTGCAAGGATATGCCACGCAGAGAATCAACTAACCATATCAATCCATTTGCTCCTCGTACCATTTTTCGGCCTGTCTGTATCGTTTGAGGATAATTAATATTGTATCAATACTGTATAAAAGCAAATGTCTTCAAAGATGTCAGCATCAGTTTCGATTGTTCAATTGAGAGACAAAAGCGAATTCGATTGACCACTAAATTGGCAAAATGAACTTCAAAGCGAATATGTTTATTGTTCTGGTGGTCTTCTGTACTTTCGCCTTCATCGACGACGTGCAGTCAAATCCTTCCGTTGGTAAGTTGCCTAAAGCCGAGCCTAAAGCTGGGTATTTTTTCCTGACGATTAGAATAATTTGTATTGTTCTGCAAACCAGACCTCTTCGGCGGGTTCGAAATCATCTCGGTGTGCATGACCAACTGTGCCCAGTGCAAGCGCATGTACGGAACATTCTTCGATGGGCAGCTGTGTGCCGAAGCGTGTCTCGAGTTCAAGGGCAAAGTCATTCCCGATTGCGAAGACATTGGGTCGATTGCCGGTTTCCTGAACCGGGCCGAGCTGAAGAAATTCGTTTAGAATGTGGGACGATTCGTGTAGATTTGATAGGATGAATGCAGTTTGGACTTGTTTGTCGACCGAATAACCTAATAAATTATAATAGAGCAAATTCCTTATTTTTTTTAACTGTACATAATTATGTATGACGCGATGACCACCCACCACCACCTGGACATCATTTAAATAAAAGCTTCGAAAGGCAAATTTGTTCGTACCGTTTGGTAACGCCTCACTCCAAAAGCTCACTAGTATTTTCATACGTTTCAATCGTAACGTTTCTCCCAGTGTGCAATTTCCCCTCTTTTCGTCGTTTGACATTTCTCCACTCGTCAGACGTCAGATTGTTTTGGTTGCGTGATTTGTGCTGGAGAGGGTCTTGAGAATTTTGCGGAAAACCTGAAATTTCCTCCATAAACCTTTACAAAAAGTAGTCAAGTCAGTTAAAATGTTATCTCTAGCTGGTAAACTGCTAGCCAGACATGCCATCAACGGGAGAACCTATCTGATTCAGGTAATTTTAACCGGCATTAAATTTTCCTACTGATTTCATAACCACAATGTTTACATATGAATCGATAGGAACTCGCCGTGGCTACCGCTGGAAGCAACCGGAGTTATCACATCGCTTGTGGAAATCTAAATGACCGTCAGATCGGCAGTACTGTGAAACTAAAGAACAGATTCATCAATCCCATCACAGCATCGGTTCTGGTGCGAAACATCAGCACAGACGATGCCGGCAAGAGCCTGCTGGACACAATCCCGGAGCCACCACCAATTCCAGCTGCACCAGAAATCAGTGACATAGTGGCCAATGTTGCTGCGAATGGTGAACCAACGTTTGCATCGCTTGGTCTGGGCGGTTGGACCCCGGTGGGTATCGTTCAGAACTGTATGGAATTCCTTCACGTCAGCTGCGATATACCCTGGTGGGGTGTCATCGCCATTGGCACGATTTGCGTGAGAACGCTTTTGTTCCCGCTGGTAATTGCCAGTCAACGGAATGCAGCTAAAATGAACAACCACATGCCACAGATGCAGGTGCTTCAAATGAAGATGACCGAGGCTCGCCAGGCTGGGAACTCTATAGATTCTGCCCGGTACGCCCAGGAGATGGTCGCTTTCATGAAGGAAAAGAATTTAAACCCGTTGAAGAACATGCTGGTCCCGTTGGCACAGGCTCCGATCTTCATTTCGTTCTTCATGGGACTGAGACAGATGGCCAATACGCCGGTGGATTCGATGCGCGAGGGAGGACTGTTTTGGTTCACGGATCTGACGGTTTGCGATCCTTTTTATGCCCTGCCAGTGATCACCAGCATCACCATGTTTCTAACGATCGAGCTGGGAACGGACAGTGCACGAATGTCGGCCCAGAACATGCAGATGGTCCGGTACGTGCTGAGAGCAATGCCGCTGTTTGTGTTTCCCTTCACTATCAACTTCCCCGGTGCGATCCTGTGCTACTGGGCGTGCAGTAACTTTTTCTCGCTAATGCAGGTTGGCTTCTTGAGGATTCCAAAGGTGCGAGACTACTTTAAAATCGACCGATTGGTGACGCACAAACCGGAAACGTTACCAATTAAGAAGAAGAAATTCGCCGAAGGAATGAAGGACTGTAAGTTGATTTAAGCTGTGATTAAAATGTTCAATCTGATATTCGGCAATTTTTCAGCTTGGACCAACATGAAAATTACCCGCGAACTGGAGGAACGTGCACGGATCGATGAAATAACCTTCCAAAAAGCAGGTAAAGGACCTCTGGTAAAGACTTACAAATACGATCCAACGGCACCCCAACCCAGCAGTAGCAGTGCCATCAGTGCTAAGAAACGGTAGACGGTTATCAGTCGAAGGGAATGTTGTGTAACTTGTATTAAAGTATAAAAAACAGGCTAAAGATATACCTTAAATAAAAATGTAGTTTATTGTTCTAAAACCAGTCACAGCTTAAATTACAAACTTAAACTGCCTTCCCGCTCACTTCATCGGAACGGCAATGCACTGATTGATGACTTCGATGAGATGGGCGTTCTCTAGGGCGGCGGCAACACGTTCCTTATCGGCCAGCTGTTTGTTGACAGCGTTCTCCGATGCGTGCGTCCCTGGGTTGATTTCCACCGAAACCTTGAAACGGGGTGGCAATGCGCGGAGCAACTTCACCCGGATCGACAGTCCGATCAGCGTTGCCATACTGCAGTGGGGAATCGTGGGAGTGAACAACACCTTGACCGTGTTCTTCTCGTTGTCCACTGTGATTAAGCTCTTCTCGAGGACGTGAAGCTCCTCCAGCGTTAGCGGGTGCTCCGGGTCGTTGATGTTGCGGATGAGATCTGAGAAATAAAACGTTAAATGTTATTGAAGTTTTACGTAGAAGAAGCAATTCAATAAACTCACCGAAAATTTCCCGCTCATCAAAGGGATCACAGACGTCGTCATTTTCGTCTGCTTTAGTGATTCTGCGATCTTCGCACTTGCGGTAAACATGGGGATTGATGTTCTCCAGTTCGGCCATTGTCGATTCTTTGTGTAAATTTAGATCTCAAGTAAGTAAGTAATAAAACTGAATTTCATCCAAATGAACTAACTCACAACCACTTAATTACACTAATAGTTTGATTATTTTGCACTTCGACTAAACACGACAACAAACTGATGCTGATTATATATTCGATAGATTTTGACGTTTCTAGCGACCTTGAGAAGTGCTTGAGGCGCACATGTTTGGTTTTGTTACAGCGGCACTGTATGCTTGGAAGAGCTTTTATGTTGAGACGTTACGTATTCTCCTCATGCTTTCTTGGGTGGTTTGTTGGCTGCGAACGCATGGTAGTTTACGCAGCTCGGTTTACAAAGTGAGTGGATTTAAACTTTTTTTTTATTCTTAGTTCGGAAAATAATCCCTGCGACCAATACTTTTTTTTTCGATTCCAGGATCATGATTTTTTTTTTAAATTCAGTACTTAATTTGGAATATTGACATTTTTTACAAGTTCAATCATCTATAAATATACTGCCAGCTTGAAGTCTTGCTATGTCTGATATGCTTCTTAATATTTGAAAACCCGTGATATTTTTATCTTTTCTAAATCCAGGATCTTGGTTTAAAATTTGGAATAAATCTAGACCTTGATATTTTTCTATATTTCAAGATTTTGATTCGGCTGTTTCCAAGTCCAAGATCCAATCAATTACAAATATCGCACAGCCTTGGCTTTTGTTTTAAGTCTAGAAAAAACTACATTTAAAGCTACAAAAAAAAAAATCATCAGTACGAAACCTTGCAAATCTTTCTGGTTTAGAATATTAAAAATATTTGTGAGTCGGGAAATTAAGTCGAGTCGATTGAATTTCGTCAAAATTGGATTTACTCAAAAGTGAGTTGAATTCTCCGGGCTTTTCCATGAAAAACCTCTCTAATACGAGGAAAATCGAAAGAGGTTTCGCTCAGTCTATTAGTATACTCCAAGACTAAGTGAAACGTTTGTTCATATTCGAGAAGTTTTTCCTGGAAAAGCCCGGATAATTCAACACACTTATGGGTAAGTCCACTTTCGACGAAATTGAGTCGACTCGAATTAATTTTAAGTCGGTCTGATAGACCATGTAAATTAATCATATTGCCGAGCAGTTTTAAAACAACCTTCTACCAGCGATTTTAAGAAAGTGAAGTGATAAATTCATTATTACTGTTTCAAAGGGATGTATCTGATTTTGTAAACAAAGATTCAAACGTCAATTTGACGAATTCAGAATCGCATTACTCGCCGGTATGGCAGTGGTTAAAACTGTTGATTGAGAATACAAAGTCTGCGAGATATACTGTGATGGGAACGATGACGCGAACAAGTGTTCAAGATCACGAAATAACGATGTCAAAACTGTAAAAAGATAAAAAAAAAATATTACCGAAATACATAAGCATTGTTTATTTGGATATAACCTTGAACTTTTGTCGGTCCTAAAATTCATAACAAGGCTTCACATCACATTAAAGCTGATCATCGGTAGACGATTCAGCTACACTGCCTGTCACACAATATGTCTAGCTATCGAAATCAAAACTGATTACCTACATATAACATATCGCATACCACAAGCTGAAGCACCCCATCCATAATCAGCTGATCGTTATCCACCCAAGAGGCTATCAAGCACAAGTTCAAGCGCTAGACTAAATATTATATCGCTTGTGCTTCCACCATCGCGGCTCCTTGCTTTACCTATGTTGTCTGTGCAGCATAGCTTCGTGAAACGATATAAAAAAAACCATTTTATGCCATCCTCGCCGAAGGCACTACAGCACGAATGGTTGGCCGATTCGGTGGTGAGCCTTTTGCTTTTCGAAATCGACAGGAATCGGCAGAATTAAGGCGCGCTGCTGGTGCCGAAAGGCATGTAAAAATCACACGGAACAACGTGACACGCGAAGGATTATTATTCCTCTGTTGCTCCGTACATGCCATCTGAGCAGCAACGGTTTTCTCCTTCCGCTTCCGAACCAGCAACGACAGAACCGTTTCATCTGCTCTGGCAAATGGGTGTTTAGAATTTCGTGTCTTGTTAGATTCCAACGGTAAAGAGGTACTTACGGTTTGAGTGTGTCAACTGTTGTGTCACGAATCTTTCCAGCAAGCTGCAACCGTCGCTGGAGTAAATTCAATCAATCTAAATTGTTCATCGAACGGCATGTTTTGCATTTTGGACACCCACACGAAGGTGCCAGAGAGAGTGTAGGTACTGTGTTTTATCAGCTAAACACGTCAAGGACGTCGATATCGGTCGGGTGCGGTGGGCTGGCTTCCGCGTCCTTCCATAATAAAGTATGGGTGCTGGATGGCGGCAATGGTAAAGTATGAAAAAGCACACCAAGGACCTTGATTGGGCGGGTACACAGGAGAACAATTTGGCGCGATACAAAGTGTATAGGCACTTGAAATTTGAGCTATACACAGGTGTTTTAAATCGGAGACGAGTCTATGTTTTGTGTTATGCACCTTTTATGCAAGTGGAGCAATGTGAAGAGTGGTGAACGGTTTAAGAAATCGTAGTCGGCTGTGAGTTAGCGTTTGACGTGGACGCGTGTTTTTCTTTTAACCTTTTTCGTGGACCGTTGCTATTTTGGAGGAATATTTTTTAGGGAAATTGATCAAGTTTTGTAAAGCATTGTGGACTGAGATAGTGAAAAAGTGAATAACCGGTATATTTTAACAATTAGAGTCAAGTGGACAGCCAACATAAGAAAGATGAAAATTCCACCGTTGAACGTAGGCAACATCATTACACCGGAGCCTCATTATATTCCCGGGTGAGTATCAAACTATCAGATATTTATGAGACCCCCTCCATACCATGTAAGAAAACGTACGAACATTTATAACCGTGTGACATTTGGTTGCTGAGTAGGGTGTCCTGCTATAATAACATTTTATCTTGAAACCTGGGATCACACCCTCCAAATGATATAGCTTAGGGTGCTAGAACAAAACGTTTCAAGTTTGAGTTTTTTGAAAAAGCTCATATCAAACAAATATTTCTAATTGTGAAACTAGTGAAATGGTTATATTTTTTACAGATTCTTAGGGTAAAAATATATGAAAAAAAAAATTGTCACGGCTTGGTTTGCGTCAAATTTTGTTGTTGCATTTTTTTTAATTCTCAAGAACGATGATAGGGTAGGGTTAATGTCCCTAATGTAAGCCTAAGTGTCCCTAATATTGGGCCCATACATAAATTTCGAAGGAAAGCATTTTTTAACAAATTTCTACTAGCAACCAAAGATGTCAATTTATTTGTCCAGATGACGTATTGTTTTCAAAAAAAATTACACACTTCGATTTTTTCGCCGAGATGGGCACCACCGAGCAGCTCGGCATTTTATTTTACTGGATCTCAGTGAAAAACTTGCCGAGATTCAGCTAACAAACGAGAAATTTGTCGAGATCTCAGCTAACAAACATATTTTTTGCTGAATTTCCAGCAAAATAAAATGCCGAGCTGCTCGGTGGTGCCCATCTCGGCAAAAAATCTAAGTGTGTACATTACAGCCATTTCCCTATTATGCTTTTCAATCATCGACATAAAAGGGACACCAACCCCTGTTCTTCTTATATAAACATCCAGCTTAACTATTTAACAAACTCACTTGCAAGATTTAAGTTTTTTGCTTATAAACAAAAACCTTAGAAATCTAAACGAACCTGGCATGCGAATCATAGTTAAAGCATAGAGGTAAATCTAAGACTAGAAGGTTCCGAAGAAACGTGCTCAACTTTTTGGCTCAGCTCTGGTACTTTTTTCGGTCCAAAGCTAATCGCACCCCTCGAAACATATGTCGTTTTCATTTTTGCGGTGTAGCACCGATGTAGTGTACACGGTTAGAAAAAAGTACCCAAAATTAAGTTCTTTTCACTCATCTCGGCACTATAGTGCAGGAACCCAAAAGTAGGTAAAGCGGGGCAAAGTAAATTTCATTTACTTGTGTGCAATTCGTATGGAATGTTCCACTGGCTTTTTAACCAAAAGTAAGTTAGTTGTACCCAACAGTAGGTAAATATGATTATACTCAACGTTGGGTTCCCACACTTTACTACCCCTGTTGGGTGGTTTTGCTCCTCCGTTTTTGACAACATTAGAAGGAGAAAAGGAGACAAACTAGTCAAAAGTAGATAAAAGTGAACTTTCCGTTGGGTACTTTTTTCTTACCGTGTAGGCAGGAATAAGCACGAGTCTTTTACAGCTCAACATCATTTATTTGTAAATAAAGGTGCATTCTATATCTACACCCTAAATTATTTCGGTGTACGGCAGTGTAGCACCGGTGTAGCTACACCGCAAATACGAAAACGATAATAGGAAAATCCACGAACCCCTCATTTTATCTGTCAAACCTTCATAGCGAAACAAATCTATCAAAACAAGAAGGTTGACTAAAATGGGGTACGTTAATCGATTTGCTTGGGACCAACAGGCTAGTCAAGTAGTGAGCCAATTTTAAATCGTTAGTTTCCAACCGGTGGAAACTAACGATTTTAAATTGGCTCACTACTTGACTAGCCTATTGTCTTCTTTCCTTTATTTAACGTCGGTCTCTGTTCCGCAATCTAGTGCCAATCACCGACGGACATCGATTGCCATCCATTGACGGCAACCGAATGTGCAGGAAGGCAGCTTCCACACCTGCGTAGGATATCGCACCCATTCAAACACACATGGGCCGGGACCAACGGCTTTACTTCCCTTCCGAAGGAAGACGTGACCAGAGATTTTTATGCCTCAGAAAAATCCCATCGACCTCGGCTGGGATTGTACCCAGACCCTTTGGGGTGTTACCACTACACGACCGGCACCGGCTTGACTAGCCTATTGGTCCCAAGCAAATCGATTACGTGCCCCATTATAGTCAAAATTCTAGTAATACACTATGTTTTTTTTCCCCTCTCGCTTTGGCGCAGACCGTGTTGGTCCATAACAGCCAAGTCTTGTAATGACAATTTTAACGTCAAATATTCGAACGACCGATTAATTGAAAAATCTTATCATTTCAGTGACGGGTGGCTACTAATGTAAATATTATTAAACTTATTTTACTCGAATCAATTAGTCTCAAATATTAACTCCTATCTCTCCCAAAAATTTAGCAATTTCTTTGATTTTTTGATAGTTAGCGCCTTTAAGAATTTGAACTATTTCTTCTTTTTGTATAAGTGATTGGTATTTGCAGCGCTTTGTATCATATTTCGGACATTTGTGTAAGATGTGTGTTATATCTTCAGTGACATTACAGTGTTCGCATTTGTCGGAGGATATTAAACCCCATCTATTTAGCCTATCTTTTGTAGCTAAATGTCCTGTTCGTAATCGACTAATAGTTATGGTGTCTCTAGTGGAAAGCTTTATATCTTCAAACCACGGTTTAAATCTTATATTTTGCATTATACTATAGTGATAAATTCCTTTTTCTTCAGATATTAACTTATATCCACAGACAAACAGACATATCACTCGAAAGTTGTTCATCGAACAAGCATTTAACGGAAAATTTAAAAGTATCGTAGTTGGTAGTACCACCACCTGTGGCGCGCATAGTCAATTCCCTTGCGTTTGACGTTTACACACTACCACCATCTGTTCAGCGTAGTGCCCACCACAGTGTACTCAACAGATGGCGGTAATATTTTAGCGACGATGTTTTACAGTGAGAAATTTCAATGTATTATGTATGTTTGTCTGTGTTATATCTTTGATTCCACATGCATGTGGTTTCTAATTTAATGTTAAGTATCAAATCATCTTTGGTTATTGGAGTGTTTTCTATCTGTTGCCTGCTTGTACCCATTTTAGCTGCTAAATCTGCTCTTTCGTTGCCAATTAATCCAGTATGTCCTGGAATCCACTGTATTATAATTTTATCGACATTAGAGGTTTTAATTTTATTGTAGAGATCATTAATTAAAAAGTTATCATTATTAGTATTGTTTTTAATGAGAAGAGCAGCGCTCTTTGAATCAGTTAATATGACTGCAGTTTTTAATTACACTATATTTGTTTTGATTCGCTATGAAAGTTTGAAAGATAAAATGAGGGGTTCGTGGATTTTCCTATGTTTCGAAGGGTGCATCGATTAGCTTGGGACCGAAGATAGTATCAGAGCTGAGCCAAAAAGTTAAGCACGTTTCTTCGGGACCTTCTTGTCTTAGAGTTACCTTTATGCTATTACTCTGTGCTAATTTAGGTTATTTCAAAATTAGAATCCACAAACAACATACTCAGAAACTATATCCGATCTCAACAAACTGTACCGAAATCAGAACAGCTAAACTACTCGGAAAGATTTTGGCTTTTCTATTTGATTGAATTAAGCTACGTTATATCGAGCTTTTTGACGTAGAACTACGTCTTTGTCTACTATACTGGGGTGCAAGTCAAAAAATATGTGTGGTGAAGGAGTGTTAGGTTTTGAACGCTTGTAACTTTGTCATTTATAGATGAAATTAAAATCCAAATACGCCAATCGATAGGATATTACATTACGAACCTGTTGAAATAAATATTTTTCCAATTTTTCTGTAATTAAACTTTTGAAAATGTACAAATGATAATTTTATCACTGTTTTCATGAAATAAGCCTTTTTCGCAAACCCAGTCATCATAAACGAATACCACTTGGTTGCACATCGTTCTGCTTGAATCTGAAAAGATATAAATCAGCGCTGGTCTCATGCCACTGCTCATTAACGCTTCGGACGGCGTGGCGCTTGGTCCTGCAGTAAGCAGGACCAAATCAGCAGCTTAAGGTGGATCACGGCGTGACCACAATGAGGAGAAGCACACACGCCCTTCACAACAATCTCTCGGCCCCCCCCTCAACAACCTCTCCTACCCTCCCCCACCAACAAACCTCTCCTACCCCCCCCCCCCACCATGAAACCTCTCCTACCCCTCTCCCCACCATCAAACCCCTCCTACCCCCCCTCAAATACCTCTCCTAAACCCCCCCCCCTCAAATACCTCTCCTAACCCCCCCCCTCAAATACCTCTCCTACCCCCCCCCTCAAATACCTCTCCTAACCCCCCCCCCCCCCCTCAAATACCTCTCCTACCCGCCCCCCCTCAAATACCACTTCTAAAACCCCCCTCATCAATAACCCGAAAACGAGACAGACTTTAATGATCCCTTTTTTCCGGGAAATAAATTTTAAACATACCACAATCATTAGTAAAACCAAGTTTTACCAAATTTGAACAAAAAATTGCATTGAAGACATGTTTGATGACATTCAGTTGGTGAATTACACACAACTGACGGTAAAACATATCTGGTGCCTCTATATATGCAATTATATTAACATCCAAAGTCCATCCTATTTTACATATTCTGCACAAAAGAAACTTTCTGCTCCGCCCCATTCATAAAAAACTGCGGGAAATCCTATCAGGTTCTGAACCTGAAAAGATATAAAACAGCGCTGCTGTCATGCTTTTGCTCATTGTCGCTTCGGACGGCGTGGCGCTTGGTCCTGCAGTAAGCAGGACCAAATCAGCGACTTAAGGTGGATCACGGCGTGACCACAATAATGATGAAACCCCCTCCCCCTTTCACAACAACCTCTCCCCCTCCCCCTTCACAACAATCTCTCCCTCTCCCCCCTTCACAACAATCTCTTCCCCTCCCCCCTTCACAACAATCTCTCCCCTCCCTCAACGACCTCTCCTAACCCCCCACCACCACTCATCAACAATCTTTCCTAACCCCTCCCCCACTCATCAACAACCTTTCCTAACCAACCCCCTCCCCACCCCTCAACA